GCTTGGGTGACAAAATCCGGTGAGTCCGACTTGGAGGTGCCAATTGCTATCCGCCCAACTAGTGAGACAGTTATGTATCCCTATTATTCTAAGTGGATAAGAGGACATCGGGACTTACCTTTAAAACTTAACCAGTGGTGCAATGTTGTCCGATGGGAGTTTAGCAACCCCACACCATTTATCAGGTAGTTAGACTTGTTCAACTTTGTTAATTTCTCAATTCTTTTGATGGCAATCTAGGAATTTTATTTAAAATATTTTAGAATGGAGTGGTCACTACTCACTTGTTTCTTAATTGTAGGAGTCGTGAATTTTTATGGCAAGAAGGGCATACTGCCTTTGCAACAAAGGAAGAGGCAGACACAGAGGTAGTAGTCTTAATATTTTTATTTTTCAGCGATATTTGTACTGTAGAGAAGTGAAGTTTGTCCATTATACTGTTGGAGGCTTTGAGCACAATGAACTTGTGAAGGTCAAAATAAAAGGAGATTTTGTATGGATGATCCTTTGCTCTTTCACATTTATCAACAATTAACTTTTTGTTTAAAACAGCAGTATTGCCTCAGAGTTCTTGAATCCAGTATGTAAGCAAGCACGTTAGAATTTCACATGTGATCTTAGTTTTTAACCTTTCAATAATGTCAGTAACATTTTGGTCTCTGCAGTGTGTAAATACTCAAATAGTCATAGTTGATTGTTCTTGCAAATCTCACTTGTCTTGTCTTTTGAATTATCACTGAATATCTGCTGGATCACTTATGCTGTATCTGAATTTGTTATACTTCAGGTTCTTCAAATATTGGAGCTTTACCGACGTATATATGAAGAATTTTTGGCTATTCCTGTCACAAAAGGGAGGAAGAGTGAACTGGAAAAGTTTGCTGGTGGACTTTACACAACTAGCGTTGAGGTATAATATAATCAAGCATGTTATAACACTCTGTACTTGTTGCCGTAATCATTGTACATAAATTATTTGCTTCATAAATGTGCTTTAATCTAAATGGAGGAGCTTTTAATTTGATATTAACATTATAGGCATTTATTCCAAATACTGGACGTGGTATTCAAGGTGCAACCTCACATTGTTTGGGACAAAACTTTGCAAAAATGTTTGAGATAAATTATGAAAATGAGAAGGGGGAGAAGGCTATGGTCTGGCAGAATTCCTGGGCATATAGCACTCGAACGGTAAGACTTTTTTCTTTACTTTGAATGTTCTTAGCATCTATTAATTCAAGTTCCTTGTGATCCCATCCTGCCATCTATTAAATCATGTGGGCATATATTTTGTTGATTTAGGTGATTACACAGGCTTGGAGGTGAAAAGAATCCTTAACCACTCGTACAATTTCCATTTTTTCTTTTCTCCTTATTCCTGCCATTCTGCTTATTTTTTTCTGCCCCCTTTTCTTCCATTTTTTTCAGATTGGGGTAATGGTGATGGTTCATGGGGATAACAAAGGCTTGGTGTTGCCACCTAAAGTAGCGGCTTTGCAAGTTATTGTGATTCCTGTGCCTTACAAAGATGCAGACACTCAAGGTATCTTTGATGCCTGTGCCGCCACTGTGGCAACCCTCTCAGAGGCTGGTATTCGTGCTGAAGCTGATCTTAGAGAAAACTACTCACCTGGTTGGAAGTACTCAAATTGGGAAATGAAAGGTGTTCCCCTAAGGATTGAAATAGGACCCCGAGACTTGGCAAATAATCAAGTAAATCCCCAACCCTTTTTCTCATTGCTGCTTTCCTTCAATTCTTTTATACATTATTTTCCTATTATATAACTACAGTTTAAACCAAAATGTGCTTTATTTGATAGGTGCGTGTGGTTCGCCGTGACAATGGAGAAAAGACCGATATCTCTAGAGTCTTTTTGGTTGAACAAGTAAAAGGAATGTTGGATAAGATTCAACAGAGCCTATTTGACGTTGCAAAACAAAAGAGAGATGCATGCGTTGAAGTTGTAAAAACTTGGGATGAGTTTGTAAAAGCGCTTGGGAAAAAGAAACTGATCTTGGCTCCTTGGTGTGATGAGGAGGTATGACTTGAATTTGCAGAATCCCTTACCATTTACAGGGATCTTGACAATTTAACATTTATTCGGTCTTGTTTTGCTTCTTACATGTTACCCTTCATCTCTGAATTGCATCATTAATCTGAAGTGTTTTGTTAGGCACTAGAATGAGTTGAATATATTTAGATCTCTCCAGACATCTTGCTCATTTTCTTAAAAAGACAGTTTTAAGTTTTGTATAATATAGGATGTGGAGAAAGATGTGAAAGCACGGACAAAGGGTGAGATGGGAGCAGCTAAGTCTCTCTGTACCCCATTTGAACAGCCTGAACTCCCAGAAGGTACTTGGCTCCAGCTAAGCTGGCATTTCTTTTGAGCAATATGAGGTGGTCTTTATGTTTTTCTATAACTGTTACTCCATAAGCATGTGGTGCCTGAGTAATTGCTTGAAAATCTGTATCTGTGAACAAACTGCGAAAGTTATTTGAATGAGAAAAATGATTAGTGAGTAAGAGGAATAGGAAATTATATCTTTTGTATAATTCTTCACTCATACAAAGGAAAATATTGTGCAGGTACTAAATGCTTTGCTTCTGGGAAGCCTGCAAAGAAGTGGACCTATTGGGGCAGAAGTTACTAGGATTATTCACTTTTTACAACCATCTCCTTCCCATGGTCCTCTGGCTGATGTCAACAATTAAGGTTATTGGCTCATTCTGAACTGTGATATTTTCAGTTTAAAATTCGTATACGAAACGGAAGAGAGGATTTGATTTTTAATCATGTTAAAACTTCTGGTATTCTTCTTTTTCCTTTTTGTCAGAATTTTGCTTTGCCCCGGTAGACATGTGCTGTTTTATCGGGTGTTATTACAAACTCAGAATATAGTCATTGTGCTTGGCAAATCTTGAACGGTTTGTTCTTTTAATTGCCTTCTCGTTTTCTGATGTTGCTCTTTAATGGTTCGTTCTTTTAAGAAAGTTGAGCATTTGAAGAACTGGAGAATATTCATTTTGCAAGCAGACTTGTATAATATATGATGGCAGTGTTGGATGCTCCTCTGGGCTGTATTTATAGCCGTAAATGGTAGCGAGAACCAGTCACGAGTGGAAATGATTAATCCTATCCCTCCCAATAATTGTATTCTTTTGGCATACACACCTGTTTAATTTTGACCATGATAAAAAATTGAATAAAATTTATTAGAACAGAGATAATAATATTCAAGTATTGGAGCATGTCATGAAGCACAATTTTTGACTTTTTACAATTCATAATCTACCTTACCTGGACAGCATTGGAGGAGGCAGGCAAGGTCCTCCCCTTTAAATGGTAAATTTTTACTTTAGTCCCTTTAGATTCTATAAAATTTTATATTAGTACAATTATAAATTATTTTTAACCCCAAAATAGCAAATTTGTTATTTAACCTCGTCTAAACCGTAATGGTTTTTTTAAAACCCATTAAATGATCTCGATAGTTAAAGGGAATGGAGTGTTGTTTTTCTAGACTTCTTGGATTCGTGCAGTTGTATTTATAAGATATATGTCCCTAGAAACCTCCGTTAACTTTAAATCAAAATTGTTTCCTTACTTGTGTTTTGGTGACGATGATGGTATAGCAGAAAACCTGTAAAAGATGGTCCGGCACAAGTTCTTCGGTTAAAATTAAGATGAGATGTCTTTATATACGTATACCGGAGTTCTCTGTCATTTGCTTATAAACCTTGACAAAAATGTCGGTTTCTCAGGTGAATCGAAATCAGAGATATCATTGGATGAGATATCGGAGTCATCAAAAGGGTCCACTGCAAATCATTTCTCCCCTTTCATTGCTGATATATATTCATATGTTGTCATTGTGTAACAAGAATCAAACACGTACAACTGACACTAGAAAAGAAACTACATAAGCTATGATTACTACACTATGTCCAAGCATCCAAATTTACAAATAAATTCAAATAATGAGTAATACTACATGCATTCTGAATCCATTCGATTGCAAAAAGAAAAAAACAAGTAGAGACAGATATCATAAATCCATCCACATTATTCATTGCCATACATGGGATAATAAGTTTTTTTTTGGCAGCGTCCATGAGTTCCTCCAAACTCTTCAGTGAATTAACTTCCGAGCTTAACAACGAGAGCTCGACGCCAAACGTGGCCCAAGACCCACTGAAGCATTTGGAGGAACTCAACGATGGCACCAAGGGTGCGTTTGGTTCACGGAATATAAGATTACCAGTGGGAATAAAAGATTATCAGATAATAGGATTACTGAGAATGTTGTATTTTGTGTTTGGTAGGTTTAGCATGAATGTAAGATTATCATGTTTGGTTAAAGAAATAAAAGATTATTGGAATGTATATTTGACCAAATTGTCCTTATTATATATTTGTTTTTTTAACAAGTTGGAAAATATTTATATGTTTTCTTTAAAAATTTAAATTCATAAAATTTATATATTTTTTATTATAAAATTGAAAATATAAAAATGTTTAATGAAAGGGTAAATTTTTATTTTAACCTCTGAACTTCATATAAAATTTTAATTATAGATTTTTTTGTAAATCTAAAATAGTTTAAGGATAAATTTGTAATTTAACATTCATAGAATTTTTATTATTCAATGCCAGAATAAATATATTTTTTAAAGAAAAAAAAATTTAAAAGCATTTTAGTCCAAAACGCCGATAATCCAACAATACCTAAGAAAATGGAAGTAATGACATTCCCGGTAATATACCCAAAAAATCCACTATTGGTAATGTAAGATTATAGAGAATGATATTCCCGGCCAACCAAACGGAGGAATATGAATTACATTCCCATGGGAATCTTACATTACCCCAACCGATAACACCACAAAAGTGAAGTACTGTTCTGGCTTTAAATACGCGGTTAGGCTTCTTGAAACCGAGGACCCTTATATATATATATACTGCACTTTTCAAAATGAGCCAAGAATCCGATGATATCTCCGGGTCACACAGGTGCAACTGGCAACTGTTATTGGCTTGAACCTGGCTGTATTTTCAGGTTGAATTCGTGAAAACCCAAAGGCGATTCATTGAACATGGACATGGCAATGGTCGTGGTGCTTTATTCTCCTTATTATGGGTGGAAGATGTTGGCTGCAGACGGAATATTCTTATCTTCACTGACAAGTATCAGCTGTTTGTGGTCTATTTTAAGATATTGTTGAAGTAATCTTTGTATTGTCCGAAAGTGATGAAAACGTGTTCGCGGAGGAAAATATTTGGGAGTAAACCCTTGTTTTCCAGGAATCAAGTGCCCCTGTCAGAAATAGTGGGTAAACAGTGGAACTACTTAGCAAATTTTGATCAAATATATATTTGCTTGGTGTATTCTACACAGTGGATCATATAGCATGCAAAATCTGATCATCGCCCTGGCTAGTTAGTGGAGAAAGTGGTGCAAGATTGAGGTAGCTGTGGTGAACCCGGAAGACCAGGGACCTTGCTGCTCAGCGTCGGTGGCGTTCCTTTCATTATTGTTGAAATAGAGGAAGCTAATGCGGCGGTGAAATTTGGATCAGAAGCGATGGCAGCCGTGACAGTTTCGACCATGGAAGCACTACGTTCTTGTTCCATCTGCATTCCTGGAAATGCAGATAGATTGTTGGGAGCCAACATAGGGTAACCATGCAAAGGTAATGGAAATGTGGGCGTGGAAGACGGTGGACGTATATATGGAACGGGGTTTGGGCCCTGAGTTAAGTCGAGTGTTACGGTGGGGAATGGCGAGGAGGCAGATAGTGTCGCCATTGCGGATGCGTAGGGTAAAGAGTTGAAGTAGCCAGATAGCAACATGGCTGCGGCCGCTGAGGTTGTTTTAGCCATTGCGGTGGCTGCCGGTGGTAGAGGGTGATTGTGGTTTCTTTCGTACGTTGTTATTAGAATGCTTTTGTCCTCCGCACATCTTTGTACCTGTAAGAAAAATAAGACCATGCTCAGTTTTGGTTTATCATCTTTATACTTTAATGAAAGTGATTTAATCTCTCAGTTTTATTACCTGCTTTCGAACAGGGCAGCCAACAGCCATGGTGCAACGGTAGTAGGCGCGTGGGCAAGGGTTACCCTTGGCCATCTTTTGACCATATTTCCTCCATTGACACCCATCACTTATCTGCGCCACAAAAAAAAACTAAAGCATCCACCATTTCCACTTATACTCTCTTTGAAAATCATATGCAAATAAATGCAGCACTATTAGTTACCATGGGAGCCTCTGATCTTGCTATAACCGAGACTCTTGCCTTCCTGAAAGGTACTTCAGACACTTGCTCTTCGCTCTTTGACTGATCCACTATTGGACATTTTGGTGAACCCCGGGTTTGAGACGTTAGATCCATGTCATCTTTGACGACGGTTACGTCTTTGCCTTGAATCTGAACCTTCCGAAGGTCACCTTCCATCGACATGACTTCCATATTGTTGTTTTTCGGGGATGATGCTGACAATTCATGCCTCTTGTCATCAGATGCCGAGGGCTCATTCACATCTAATGCTGCAAATGGTCGTGGGTCCATTAATTGTTGGACCGACATGCCCTTTACTCCATCCTTCAGCTGTTTGTAAACAAACCCTTTTGATTACGAACCTTAACTTCGATGATAGTATTTCATTAATGAGAAAAGAAAAATTTTGACAGCCTTTTCAACGAATCTTCATACCTTTCTCTGATATATAATTTTATATATCTTCAATGAATTCGTCGATAATTAATACGAGATTCATGTGATTTGAAGGAAGAAATTTTGATATTGAAAAATGAAATGATGCGGAGGATTTCCAAAGGTGATTGGTCATAAAAGGAGCACGTGTATAGGCAAGTTTTATGAGTTTTTGGTCATAAGATAAGGTTCCCCAAAGTTCAATTTTTATATGTGAAGAACTGAGATTATATCAATAAGATATTGAACGACAGATGATACGGGATCAAGGAGCACAGTTTCCGATTCGACAAAAGCACGTTAACCAAGTCTTTTTGCATATTAAAAAATGCATCTTAATTAGGGTTGCAATGTTAATGGATGTATAAAAAAACACTTTCTCGCTCTATAACCACATGAACCAGAAACGCCCATGAAGATGAAGATGAAGATGAAGATGATAAGAAATATTTGAATATTCCATGGTTTTTTCACCTGTTGTTTACTGTTTGCAAGCGCCTGTTTTTGCACGACCATGAATAGTTGATCTTGTAGTTCATTGTAATTTCTGGTAATCTGATCCAACATGCTTCTCAGTCTCCGATTCTCTTCGTGTAACCTTTCTAACTCAATTATAAGAACACTCATCTGGGGGGAAAACCAATTCTCCATTATAAACTTTACACTCACCAATTAAAAGGAAGCTAAAAAGAAAAAAAATCTGTGAAAATTATAACTTACTTCAGTGTTGGGTTTCTTTTCATTACTTATCCATGAAACTCCCTGTCTTGAACTCAGAAGATTTAATCCAGTCTGAAACAACAAATTTAAAGTATTAGTTTCCATAACACCAAAATTGATGGGTTCAATGAAAAGAAGAAGAGAGTTCAGATGGTACTTCAAAACCTTACGTTTACATCAGAAGCAGAAGATGATGAACCCTTATTATCATATTGTGATTGGTTATTAGTAGAAAAGAAATCCATTTCCTTGATGTGCGGCTTGACGTGATCGCTGGAATTATCGTGGATGGTTCGGTCGGAAGCGGCGGAGCTCAGGCATAGGAAGTCATCGGAGCGCAAGAATGGCAGTTCTGAAGCTCGCTGCTTCATCTCCATGAGAAATTATAGAGAGAAAATAAAAAGAGAAAAGATCAGATAATAGAGAAATAAGAGAGCTCTTTCGAGTTCTCGAACAAGAGACGAAAAGGAGTGTATAAAAGAGTAAGAGCGAAGACCAGCCTTTTTTTCCGCGGGAGATATATGACGTAACAATTTATGCAAAGGGCAACGTGGCGAATTCCGGATGAGGTAGGACGGAGATATGAGTGAAATGGTGGGGGATGAAAATTTAAGAGACGGATAGCGTTAAAGATAACGGTGGCGGATAGGGTACTGGAGGTCTACGTGGGAGACGTCGTCCTGAGGTCAACGTTGTTGACGGCACAGATCTATCCGAATCTGACGGTGGTTCGAGATCTTAAAAAGGAAAGAGAAAGAGTGGGGACCAGCTAGGTGAGAATACCTAATCCCACTGACTTATGAAGCCTGCCAGGCCATGCCCTCATGTCAGGTATTTTGGGATCGGTCCAGGACTTTCCCAAGGTTTTGTAAAGATCCCCTCCACGGTTCCCCAATGTTATTAACAATGTTTAAAATATCATTTTAGTCATTAAATTTTTATAAATTATAAAATAAATCTTAATTTTTTTTTTTTTATTACAAATGAAAACGCTGCGTTAACAGTGAGAAAAACTGCTACCCAGGAATTCCTGATCAGATTTGAGGATCCCTTGAATATCATTAGGAGGCTGATGGATAACCGAGAGCCCCAAGCTCATGCCACGGCCAATGTTGGCCATTTTGTCTGCAGGCCTGTTTGCTTCACGGTGAGTGTGCTTGAAAGTGATATTCCAAGGTCGGTTGGCCGCGTTTCGAACTCGACCGATAAGGGCTGGTTCGTACTTCTGGTCAGGGAAGTTATTGTTGTCCACCGCTTGGATGTTGTCTGTTTCTACCACCAGCTCGTTCACTCCGCTCTCCCAGGCTACCTGAAGGCCATCTAGAATTGCCCACATCTCGGCCTCATACACAGAGCATCGGCCGATGTTCCTAGTATACCCTCGAATCCAGTTCCCATTTTCATTGATCAGCACTCCTCCACTGGTTGCACTCATTGTCGTTGGGTTAACACCACAGTCGGTATTGCGCTTTACACATCCAGTGCGAGGGGGTCTCCAAAAGCTTCGACTGCTGTTCCTCAAGTTGTTCGAAGCTTGGTTCTTGTTCTTCTTGATGATACTAGCCCAGCTCTTAGCCGAATCGATTACTGCAATAGCTGCCCGGATACGGCCGATAAATACAAACTCATGCCGATTTTTCCATATCTGTCATACGAGTACACCAAAGAGATGATTCCAATGCCATCCACCATTTGCGATTTAAATTTTTTAAATAATTATAACTTTATTATCAAAATTTTTAACTTATTCATTTTACTAAACTTTTACGATTTATTATTATATTATAACATCATGACGAATTTAATGATCATTTATAAGTTTCAAAAGTTAGGTAACCAAAACTATCATTTGAGTATAAATTAGTTACCTATAATATATTTTACCCTTAAAAATAATACTATATTACTCAAATTATTCAATTAGTTTTCTTTTTAACATAGAATCATCTCATTTCAAATATTATGTGTAGTATATATAAAATATTAAATTAAATTATAAATATGTGTATACTTACCGCATTGACGATTAGTTATTGTGTCGAATTTTAGGATAATTTTTTAATATATATTTACAATTTAAGCTATTTTTCTTTTTTACAATTCTTACTCGAGAGGGGAAGGAAAATTTGTTCTTAATGTATATTGAATCTACAACCTATGAGAGAAGAGAACTATCAATTTAAAGCTTATAACCATTTATTTTAGAGATTGTTTTAAATATGATTTAAACATGTTTTACTTAAATTTGAGTTAACATTTAACATCAAAGATAATAACTAGACAGATAGAAGAGCGTCATTGATAAAATGTTAATACTTTGATAATTCAATTAATTTTTTTACAAAAAATTAAAATCAATTTAAAATCTGAACCATGCATTGATGACATCTAGTGCAATTAACCTTAGACAAACTATTAATATAAAACTAAATATTTTCCCCCACCAATACATAGAATACTAATTCATAACTATATAAAATAATCTTATTTCCGTGTATATATATTACACTCCCTCTCAAATATATTTTATCTTCTTTATTAATATACGAATATAAACGTATAAGGAAAAAATATAGTAATTTTTTTAGAAAGAAACTACTCATCATGTTCATGGAAATATCATTATCGTTATCGATGAACGGGGTTGATTGAACCCAAATGTCAAACGATTATGGATTGTAATATTGAATCATTGATAGCTCTTAGCCTTGGGTATCTATCAAACTTCGAACTAAGCATGCAGTAACCACATAATGGGCCGACCCCTCCAGGCTCCATGCAATTGTGTTGTACAAGTAAATAGTGTTAACGGTTAATCGCCCTACAACCAAAACCTAGCTGCCAATTTTATTTGATGGTGAGAGATGAGACTACTATATTAAACAAAACTAAATTTTATTGAGTTAGAATTATTGTCTTAATTTTGCGTTAAATGTCAAAATCAAAACGGTATACATTATCATATTTTAATCAACATAAATTCTTTACTTTATTTGGTCGACAGTACTTAAGTTGATTTCAATGGAAGACTAAATTATTATTTATAATTCTAAAATACAATCGCAATAAACATTAAATTAGACAATCAAACAAAAATTATAACAAATTTTAAAAAAATCACATATGATAATATATGAATTTAAACGTTTTTAATATCTTAATCTTACCTTTAATGAAAACCTTACTAACAAAACTTGGAAATGTTATGATAAAAATATGAGAAGTCAATCTTCCACATAACTCATTTTAGTGTTTCCGGTATCAAAAAGATAATTTGAATTGACTTTGGCTAAGACATGAGTATACAATTATATTAATTGCATTATACGGATGACAATTGGCCATAATATTTTAAAAAATGGACGGACCAGGTTTTGCATTCATTGGTAATGAATGTGCAATTTAATTTTCTAAGTCTATTTTTTTATTACTTCATATATGATATTATTACATATTTATTGACAATTCCAAATAAATTTCGCAAAGGAAGAAATAAACGCGGTAATTATTGGTCTAACTTATAATATATATATATATATATAATCACTAGTATAGGTAGAATCTTTTGTTCTTATTTTAAAATAAATTTAGTCATCTAATGCCATCTCTCCAAATTATCATGATGCAATTTAATTACTAAGGTCATCCTTTTGGAAAACTTCAAAGCTATATACATATATATTATGTTGTCATGGACACTATTTCTTTTGAATTTTAATATTGAATTAAAATCATTAGTTTCTATAATTTAACAAATGAGGTGTTAATTAAATAACGTTGAATATCTAAATTCTCGAATTATGAATAGAATAAATTAAATTAAAAAGATTATCATAACTTTTAAAATTCTAGAATAAAATTAATTTAATTTTTTTCTTCATGATTTTTTTTTAAAAAATTCTTCATGAATTTGACTCAATCAAATAGGATCCAAGTTCAACGTCCTCCAATTTGATAGATAACCATACCGTCACCCACACGTTCAGCCCCGCTCCCCACTGCGTTTACTTCTTCTCGGTAAAGTCCAACGAAAGCCCTACGAAAAGAAAAAAGAAAAAAAGGAGATCGTGCTTCCCGTGTACAGTAGCTTGGCTTTTATTGGTTGCCACCTACCACTCACGTTGACGTCTCCTTATAAAGTAAGTAGCATGCCAACACCCTAAACATACTCTTAGTTCAAGTATTTCGCCTACTTTCCCCACAATCCAACCCTAAATCCATCACTCACACGTTGACATCTCCTTATAACGTTTATTTTAGTTGTTTAAGGTGACAACAATCCAACGTTAATACACCGTACATATATAACTGTTCGAAGTCAGAACTTCTAAAGATAACATTATTCTTTTTTTATCAATAAAGTCACTCAATAAATTATAATATGTTTTAATTAAATATAAAAAACTCACATAAATCCAACCCAACTCATTCTATAAACACCTAATTGAATGTAAAAATATCAATTGATATATCCTTTTTGTCTCAATTAATGTCAGCATATTTATTATATCCGTGTAAAACTTATCCTAATTCATGAAAACTGAGAAAGAGATATGCCTTTCAGTTTTAGCTATTGTTGTCGATTTCATAATGCAAATGGGAGCTGCCTGACTTTATGTTGTCCCAAAAGTCACGCAGGGACCGAACTTGTAATGAAATTATGTAGCCGATCAAATGGACCAGTTTTTTCTCCGTATGAACTTTGAAAAGGGAGCGACCTCCGAAAGATAAAGAGTGAGAAATACTGACTATAAAGACATGAAAGGCAAGGCTAGGCTATATAATTTGTTGGGTGAAATATATCGAAGGTCATTGATTTATGTTTAAATGATGCTTTATTTATTAATTTTTAAAAAATTATAAAGTCATTGTTAAATTTATTAAACCGTCATAAAATGGATATTAAGATATTATAATAAATGTACAAATTCGATGAATTTAATGAATACTTTGTAGTAGTTAGATAAAATTTAGTGATCATTTATAACAGTTTTAAAAGTTTAATGATTATTTTATAGTTTTCAATAATCGAATAATCAAATGATCATTTGAGCAAAATTTAGTGACCTTTAGTGTAATTTATACTAATGCATTCTATGAATGATTGAAAGCTTTCAATTCAATCTTCTGTCTTGATTCAATTCAATTCAATCCGAACTAACATTTAATATCCAAATTAATAAATTATTTTTATAAATTTAGGGTAAGTATAATACAATATTTGTTGATGCTTAAATTAAGATATTCAAGGAACAACTATAATTTCTTTACCACGTATGCCACTTGGTATAACCTTAATATTTTTGAAAATTCGATTAGAAGTTCTGACCTTTCATTTGAAATAGAAAAAGGGAAACATCAATTGGATAGGAAGATACAAGGGCTTTTAATGCAGTGCAAGCCATCAGCCATGCATGTGGTTAAGGGATATTGCATGCAGTGCAAGCCATTCCAAAAAGCCATAGTGTTGGGTAAGGGGAAACGAAAGATATTTCAATAGAAGCAATAAATCCAGACAGATGGGTTGTTTTGGGTTTTTAGAAACAGTGTTGAAAGTATGGTCTTTTTTATGGGAACTAGATAGGGCTGGTTTCGTCTGGTCCACAAAAATAGGTATTTTAAGACCCACGCTACTCCATTCGGACATTTATTCAAACAACTTGTGTGTTCTTTTTCGTGGGGATATGGATGGGCATTTTCTCTTCTTATTGGTCATATATATATATAATCACTTTCTTTGTATCTAGTTAATAACAATGCAAATTAAATTCATGAAGTGACTTCATTAATAAAAAGAAATGTTGTTCTTCTTAAAGGTTATAAATTTGAGCAATTGTATCTATAAGGTATATACGTGTTATCAATAGGTTAAAAAAATTCTGAATAAATATTATTTTATAATCAACTCGATAAATCCCTTGTATTAGTTCAATAGATTGTTTCACATAAAATAAGATATCTCGGATCAAGTTTAAAACTCAAATCCCCTGAACTATATCCTAATTCCACTATTACTGCATATTTTGTTAATAATCGAAATGAATAGTAATTATACAATTATATTACAGCATATTTCAAAAAGAAAAAAGAGTTATGTCAGGTTTAAGGGTGAAAACTCCATCCGATTCAATATTATAGTATAATTATTCAATATTATAGTAATTATAATAATATCTCTCCCTCTATAGTTTTTTTTCAATTACACTTTCCCTTATTGAATGATATATATGTGTGTCATGTCAGATCAAGTATAATTGTTTTTTTCAAAATATTAGATGGAGTGATGCCTTCAAAACTAGAGTTAAATCAAGTAACAGATGAAAAACTATAATATTCTAACTTGATCCAATTCATACCATCCTTGAATGTGAGATTATTTATGTGAATCCAACTGATCAAAACGAGAAGTATAGTTCCCTTTGTTAAAATGTTGATTGGTTTGCTGGGCCCATCTTTTCTCGAACCCGTGTGATAGTGCAATAGGAAAACAAAACGAAGCATCACGAAAAAAGTAGAGAATTACAGCCCAAAGAGAAAAAACTCATGCTCTTGTTACTCTATCAAAATTAGTATGAAAGTTTACATTCCAAATCCTTAACATTTCCCACCCTTTATCTCTCTGCCTACCTATTCATTGTTCACTCCACAAAAAGACATATAGTAGGAAGATTTCTGCATCCAAAATTCAGCACTTGCTGATCTTCAATCTCCTCACAGCTGACAAGAACATCCTACACATGTCATTACATTAACAGTTTCAGTTATCATTGTTTCATTTATTAATCGTCTTAATTTGGTTGATATCATGACGTTAAAAAAAAAGAGATTTACTTACTCCCAGGGAACATCACCAACCATCATCCAATCACCTTCCTTGTCTTCGTATGTGAGCACATGGTATTTCTCATAATGATCTCCATCAACCTCAGCTTCGGCCCCTGCAATATTATCAAACACATCATAAGAGAGAAACTACATTGTATTTTTAGTTAGAAAAGAAAAAAGGAAGGAACTTTACAGATAATATTTGTGTTGAACATATGTTGAAGAGTCCTTATAAGGTCGTAGTAACTATCATGAGCCAACAGGTCTAGTTTTCTCCCAATAGGAATCCCTTCCATGTATACCTTAACAAAGAATGTTGCACTGTTACACTCATTTTCTTCTTCACCAAACACCTGCCTTAACCTCAGCTGCTCCCTGCCATCACCGTCCATTTTCAACCATTAGCCCCAAACAAAGTAACCATTTCGATATGCATATAAAAAGAAACCAACCTTTCATAAGGAGGAGAGGTTGAAATACTAAGGCCGAGCCTAAGATCGGTGCCGAAATCCATGGAAGAAGCTGCAGCACTGGTGCTCGAGAAACCAAAGTGGTGGTTGCTGCTGCTCTCAAAAGACGATGATGGAGATGAACTGGCAGCCCTACCCATTGATGAAGAAAATTGAAGACAAACGAGCCGCCACCTTGGGGTTTAAATAACCACAAAGATTGTGGGAGAAATGCAAGGGGGTAGTAAATTTTTGTTGGGAGAATCAAGAGGGGTGGTAAGGGCAAGGCCTTCAAATAACTGGCTGTGCGGTTGGGCTGTTATGTTGTCGAGGCAGCCGACATGTACGCGCGTCGTCTACCAAACCCAACTTGTAATAATCATGGTGCTAACATTCTTTCTCGGAATTCGGTTCAGTATGGTTTTAATGTGCGCAGTTCGATGTTTTGTGTTTGTTTGCTTCCCTTGCATCGACCGATTTCTCTGGTAAATTCATAGCAGTTATTTACAGCTAAATGCTATAATGCACGATGCCAACTAAAACCATATGAACAAAGTATATTATTATATTATACGAGAAACTGTTATATTTAATTAATTCAATTTTAAAAATGTTCATTATAATCTTCAAATCGATTAGCCTTTTCACTGTGTATTAGAAGGTACGTGTGAAGAATTATTTAAATGCTGATACTTTTACGTAATTAAAACATGATTTTATTAATTGTATTTCTTTATATTTTGAGGCGAGGGCAGTGATTAATTATGACATTACAAACAGGGGTACAAAAGCATCGAAACTGTAGACATTAGGAAGAACATGTGAACTCGAAATTGCTGTCCGAAATCGATGTTCAATGGATAGAATTATCGTGTTGCGTAAAGTAGACATAATTAAGGCAGGGTAATGATGACTTCGGGTTATGTGTGTATGTATTACTTATATTTAATACAATCTGTTTTATAAATAGTATATTATGGGGAAAATAAAAATAAGAAAAACTCTAGTGTTTGTTATATTTTATACGATTTATCTTTTCGTTTGGTTAGGATAAGTATTCATATAAAGAGAAAATTGATTAATATAAAATTAAAGTTACAAATATACGTGAACATTATTTTTTAAATTATTACGTTAATAAATAATAATAATAATAATTAAACGCATAATAATCAAAATTTTCATTAAAACAAACTTTGAAATAGCCGAAAAAGAAAAAAATTATTATAATATCGAAATTACAAGAGTACATGATTATAAAATATAACACATATTTTAAGATTTTATCTTATAATAATTATATTTTTTATTATCAATCTATAGAGTTAATTATTTGATGAAAACATTTTCTATTAAAAACAAGTTATATAAAAGACTAAAAATTATTTTATTATTTATTCATATACTAATATGTGAAACAATGAGAGTTTAGTTTCAATAGTAAGACTAAGATTATGAAAATATTTTAAATTTGAGCCTTATGATATAAATTTATATTTAAAGTTTATGATGTATAGATTATATTTTGATTGGTTTTAGGTGTGAACGTTTAATGTCGATAGATTAAAAGCTATATTTGAACATATAACATTTTGTACTTATCTTAGATTTATCCCACACAAAAATATGTGATAAAATAAAAGTGAGTCCAACACTATTATAGTGGCTAATGACTTCACCTCAAAGGCAGAAGCTAAGGAAGTTAAAAGCTAGCATCATGGAGATATGCAACCAAACTCAATTTGCAAACACAAGAAAAGAAAAAGGTTGAATTGGATTTGGAAGGAAATCTTTGCCCACGTGTGGAAGGTAATTCTTTGTCTCACATTAAAATTAATTAATTTTAATGTTTTTATATCACTCGCCCACACAAGAAAGGGAACGCCAATTTTACCGAAGGAGAAGACCAAAAGCAAAAGTTGATGTTCCCCACCACCCCTACCCATCACTTTTCATTTTTCCCAACTTATTAACCTCTTTTTCTTTTAAACTAACCATTATCATTACATTTTTTTATAATATTTTCATTTAATTTATTATAATTCATAAATATTATTGTATATGTTCTTATATTACAGCATAGATTATATTTTTTTAATAGAGGGAAGTGACAAAATCTAAATTTAAAATGAGAGAATGAAAATATCACTTAGTCCATGAGATAATGAAATGATCGATTGTATTAAAAATGAATAAAAAAATTATACACATTAAAAAGATAAATAAAATAATCATTTAAAAATGAGGCTGACTAATTTAATATTGGTTTAAAAAAGTACATGATATTTTTTATTAGTATTTGAAATGAACAGGTATTAGGGTTAGCATAATGTTTCCCTATTGTCCAAAAGGGGTTAACGTCTTTGGTATGTAGCCTTTATCTTTTGGCAGCTGCAACAACGTCGTCTTTTTACACATGTTTAAGTAGATTCTATGGCCTGCATGTTTCGGCATGCCAACATCTTAACCCCAAATTTATGCTTACCGGTATTGTGTTCTCATCATTGCTTTACACAAATTCTTTAGGCTTTAGCATCCAACTGAAGCAGTAATCTTTGGGACTTTGGACCAGGAAGATGAGAAAGTGTAATTAAGGATGGTACCGGACCAACCAGGATGGATCATTTTTCTTATCATTTCAAAATAAAATTGTCAGATCTATCTAATTTCGACATATCTTGATATTTGATGATGTTTCACCAATCTTAATTTTAAGATAAAAGTTCATTACAAATCTATTTTTACTCAATTCATTTTTTTTCATTTTATTAGACAAGATAAAGAGATTATTCATATATATATATATATATATATATAATATTTTTATTATAGTAATTGTTTAAATATATATGGAGTATTATAGTAATTATATAAATGAGTCAAATTTTATTTATCCTGAATCTTACTAGATCTCAACCCTAATGTAGCGTTTGGTTCGCAAGAATTCCTTGGAATTGGGAGGAATTGGAATCCAATTCCACCACTTTCCTATGTTTGGTTTAAGTTTTCAAAGGGAATTGGAATCCCTCATGACTTCAACTTTCCATCAAACGAGGGAAAGTGAATTCCATCCATTCTATAATGGAATTCAATTTCCTTGTTGGAGGGAATTGAAATTTGACCATACTACTCTCATCAATCTTTTGGTAATTTATTCATATATTGAATAAAAATATTTTTTTATTATTTCGGGTCGGGTTTCTAATTCATATATTCAGGTTGGGTCGGGTGAAACTTTATTTTGGTCGGGTCGGTTTTTTTAAGTGTGATATTCGGGTCGGGTCGAGTTCGGGTTTAGGGTGAAAAAGACCCGACCCGAATATATATATAATTTTACCTTATATATTTAGGAATAATTACAATAATACCCCTCTATATATAATTTTTTCAATTAAGTCACTGTTTTTATTGAATAAAAATAATTTTTTTATTATTTTTGGTCGGGTCGGGTCGGGTGAAACTTTATTTTTGGTCGGGTCGGGTCGGTTTTTTTTAAGTGTGATATTCGGGTCAGGTTAGGGTTTAGGGTGAAAAATACCCGACCCGACCCAAAAAATATATAATTTTACCTTATATATTTAGGAATAATTACAATAATACCCCTCTATATATAATTTTTTTTCAATTAAGTCTGTTTTTATTGAATAAAAATAATTTTTTTATTATTTCGGGTCGGGTTTCTAATTCATATATTCGGGTCAGGTGAAACTTTATTTTGGTCGGGTCGAGTCTCAGATGGAGGTTCCCTTGTTCTCGGGTCGGGTCGGGTAGACCAAAAACCCGACCCAATCCGATCCATGGCCATCCCTAATTGGGATGATTTTAACTTATGATGTTTATTAGCATGATTTTTATAATTTATTGAAATGAATAATCAATCAATAAAATTAAAATTTAATATTTTTTTAAAAATTTTATAATATATTGCTACATGTAATTTATAAAACAAACTAAAATTAAACAAAAAAAACAAGAAGGGCAATCATATCATTTTACATTACTGAAATCAAATTCATCTGACATGTCTGCGAACCAAACAGAGTATGGAATTGGATTCCAATTCAATTTCCTGCCAACCAAACAAAATATGGAATTAGATTCAAATTCTTATCATATTCCAATTCCCTCACAAACATTTCAGCGAACCAAACGCCACCTAACTCTCTCCCTTGCAAAATTCGTCAATTAACTTCGTTAATGTTACGTTCATAACAGCCTTGTTTCCATTGTTTTTCAATCCTTATTCAAAGCAAATTTATTTAAAATCCATCAAGTAGTTTGGATTTTATTATCTTTACGTAACACACAAGAATTTAAATTCAAATTTATTAAATGTAAAGTATATAAATCAATTAAATTAGAATTTCGAATTTACCGTCGCATCATCTATCAGTATAAAGAAAGTAGAGTAAATTAATTGATACTACTGAAGTAGTAAATATAATGTATTAATAACATAATGAAATGAAAGACAGGCTGTGGCGGATACAACGTTATTGCAAGTAATAATTGTAGAATGAATCCGTATTCGCTACCATAAGAAAAAATTACAGACAATAAAATTTAAGGACTTAGTCTTGCCGGAGAAGATGAAATAAATAGCTGAAACCTAAATCCGTGACAACAGCAGCAGAATTCTGGAATTAGGGGAACATGAATGAAATGGAACATACCAACAGGAAGAATTTGCTGCTGAGTCTTGTGTCTCTGTAATCAAGCATTTAATGACATTAAATTGAGTTCTTTTAGGCCCATCTCCTCAACCGTAAGTTCGAAAACTAAGTTTTCCGTCCGATGAGTCTTGACTTAATGTAATAAACAGAACATATTTAGCAGCGATCGGTGCATGTACAAGCATTCTGAATTACCCACAGTGTTACATGAATGGCAGTTATCACAAGATGGTCGTTACTGGTACAGCATTCATAATTATGCGTCTGCAAGTATCCGGCTGTTTGACTCCTTGTTCTTAGCTGGTAACCCAGAATTCTGCGTTGCTGATCCCTTGGCTGGAGCATCAACTAGTTTTAGATTCGACAAAGCATCAGCCAAGTATTGATCGGATCCTGCTGTATCACTAACCCCAGTTTCGGGATTTAGATCCTTAAGGTTTTCACTTCCAAATTCTAGCTCCAATTTCCTGAATTCCTCTTCAATATCTTCGTCATCCATGTCCAGATACGGAGGTGATACTTCAACGGTTAAAGCTGAACATGTAACAACATCATCAAGAGAGTATGCATTACACTACATAATGACAACTAATTCGCATTCAGAAAAACTACAAAAAATGTTAAAAAGGATGGTTAGTAACTACTACCTAGAGCCTTTTCAACTTGCTTTTGTGAATCAATGCTCTCATCGAGTTCTTCTAAACAAAGCTGAACTTCTTCCACGCTTATCTTATTCTCCTTTATAGCTCATGCTCCAATC